TACTGCTTCTTATTATAAAAATAAAAATAAAATTACTTTAAATAAAGTGTTAAGGATTTATATTTGTAAATAAAAAAAATTTTTTTATAAATTGATTAATAAGTTTAAGAAAAAATGCAAAATGAACTTCGGAAATTACGCAGGTAAATTTGCCTGCGAAAACCTACAGTTTAAGGGATAGTTAAAAGTAATTCTAAAAAGTTTATCATAGATTAATCATGAAATTTTTTAATATAATTTTTTTTTTAAAAATTACAAATTTTAGCTTCTAAGTAACCTTAAATTTTTTAATATATAATTAAAAGATAAAGCTTGCTATAATTTATTATAAATTAATTTAAAAAATAATTTTTAAAAAATATTAATTATTTATAAAAGTTAAAAAAAATTAAATATATTCTTTTTTATATCAATACCTTAATTCTGTAGAAAATTATAATAAATAATTTCTGTTTTTTAAATTTAAATAAAAAATTAATTTTTAAAAATGGGAAATAGATGGTCGATCTTTTTTATTTACATAATATTTAATTTTTAATTATTGGCAAAAAGTAACAGGGAAACTATGAAAAGATCTTCCAACAAGCGTCATCGCTTAAGCGACGATATAGATTCTCGTTTATTTCCTTATATTCAACAGATACAACAAGAAAATAAAGGTGTATCTATTTCTACGTATGCTGTTTTTCAGTATGTTCAAAATGTCGATTGTTTCAAAAGAATGAGAAAAGCACAATTAGAGCAAAGCATTGATAGAGGTTCAAATTCGATATTTGGTTTGTTTAAGAAATTACGAAATAAATATAGAATTAAATGTTCTTTTCAACGTTAGTTTTAAAATCGGTAAAGAAACAATACAATGAACAACAAAATGAAGAATCAACACCAAACAAAGCAGAAGAAATTAAATTAGAAAGGTTAGAAGGAAATGTTACAAATATGCTTAAATTATTTAAAGATAATTAAGACACTTAATATGAATTTAGTGAACCATCAGAACTTGATGAAATGGAATTTGAACATCTAGAAATTGAAGGTGTTCAGATGATGGAAGTTAAGGTTTAGATAATTTTTTCCATTTTAATAACTTATGATTATTTTATTACGACATAAATTATAAAATATTTATAATTGAAGGACACAAATCTTATGAACCAATCTATTACAAAAGTATGGTCTCAGCATCGTCCTCAGTCAAATGAACAATCACCTATTAAAACCTCATCAACCGAGTCCAATTCAAATGTTATACCACAATCATTTAAAGCTGCAAATAATCCAAGTTTTATTGATAATAAAATTCAGGATAAGAAAGAAAAAGTCAAAAGTCAAAGGAAATCAAAAATGAATTTTTCGAAAAAAGATTCCGGAAATTTAAAAAGTAAGCATTTAAAATTTAATATACCGTTCCAGTTATCCCATTTCACATAAATTCAATTGATAGGTGAAGAAAACAGAGATGTTTTATCGTTACCTTCAGCCAGATTATCAGACTTGGGTGGAGTTGAATCTTGTATTGAAGAAATCTTGGAATTAGTCGTCATGCCATTGGCTCATCCAGAAATTTATATACATACTGGAGTAAATCCACCAAGGTGATGGAAAATTCTTTTGTAAATAATAAAAATAATATCATCAAGTATATTAATTTATTTTCATGTCAACAGAGGAATATTATTACATGGGCCTCCAGGTTGTGGAAAAACGTTATTAGCGAATGCTATAGCTGGAGTAAGAAATTTGAAATTAGTTCTGATAATATAAAAACTTTACAGTTGTATATCATACAAGCAACAAACTTACGACAACCTTTACAGGAATCTGGCGTTCCATTTATTAGTATTTCTGCGCCATCTGTAGTTTCTGGGATGTCAGGAGAATCAGAAAAAAAGATTCGTGAAGTATTTGAAGAAGCTAAAGTTTGTAAATTTTACTACCAACATGTTGTTGTAGCTTAGATCTTAATGCGATATATATATTGTAGGAAAAAGCTCCATGTTTATTATTTATAGATGAAATTGACGCGATTACCCCGAAAAGGGAAACAGCTCAACGTGAAATGGAAAGACGAATAGTAGCACAATTGTTAACATGCATGGATGGTACTTTGAAATAAATTTGAAACCTCAATCTTATTAAATTTATTTTTAATTATTAACTTATTTAACATTTTCAAATAATATGTAGATTTATCATGGGATAAGACAAATAACCGGCCGATTTTGGTTATTGGTGCGACAAATAGACCGGATTCACTTGATCCGGCATTAAGACGTGCAGGAAGATTTGATAGAGAAATCAGCATGGGAGTTCCAGATGAACAAGCAAGAGAAAAGATTTTAATAGTAATATCATCCAAATTAAGACTTTCTGGTGATTTTGATTTCAAAGCTCTTGCCAAATTGACACCTGGATATGTTGGTGCAGATTTAAATGCGTTGACAGCTGCAGCTGGAGTTATTGCTGTAAAACGAATTTTCACAAATTTGAGTGAATCTGATATACTCAATGTTGATATAAATAACGAAATGAGGACTAATAATATTAATTCAAGCAGTCCATCTACTTTATTCGAGAACCTAAATCCAATTGATAAATTAAATTCTATATCTGCTTTTCTAAAGAATCATCCTGATCCACTTACTGAGGAAGAGCTCGAACCTCTTAGCATAACTAACGATGATTTTTTACAAGCTCTCTCTAAAGTTCAACCCTCATCAAAACGTGAAGGATTTGCAACGGTTCCTGACGTTACTTGGTCTGATATTGGCGCGTTAAAATTTATCAGGGATGAATTAAGAATGACCATTGTTGAGCCCATAAAGCACCCTGAATTGTTCAATAGAGTAGGCATAACGGCGCCTGCTGGTGTATTACTGTGGGGACCACCAGGATGTGGTAAGACCCTCTTAGCCAAAGCTGTCGCCAACGAAAGTCACATTAATTTTATATCAGTCAAAGGGCCTGAGTTATTGAACAAGGTTTGAAATTAAATGTAGAATTAATTGAATGATACGATGATCTATCTATTGATGTGTCAATTTTAATATTTGATAGTATGTTGGTGAGAGCGAGCGCGCCGTACGTCAAGTTTTTGCACGAGCAAGAGCCTCATCGCCATGTGTTATATTTTTTGATGAATTAGATGCTCTTTGTGCTCGACGCGATAACTCTCAGGTTATATTTTGTCTCAATTTATATTCATTTAATTTTTTAACAAATGAATACATTTTAAATTTTTTGATTTATTATAGTCCGAAGCTTCAGCTCGCGTTGTCAATACTTTACTTACTGAATTAGATGGGTTAGAAAATCGAAAACAAGTGTATGTTATAGCTGCTACAAATAGGCCTGGTAATTTCCATCATGCAACCTTACAATATTTTTATTGTTCAAATTTTCACTAAATTCATGTTAATATATTTAAGATATCATTGATCCGGCTATTATGAGACCTGGTCGCTTAGATAAACTTTTATTTGTAGAATTACCCACAGCATTTGAGAGATATGAAATTTTAAAAACATTAACAAAGCGGACTCCTTTAGGAAATGATATTTCTTTAATTAAGATTGCTGAAGATCAAAGATGTACTAATTTTAGGTAAGTTTGGATAAGTTATAATGAAGATATATTGGAAATTGATATTAAATTAATTATGTTATTCTGAATAAAGTGGTGCAGATTTGGCATCCCTCATTCGTGAAGCGGCCGTATCTGCATTAAGATCTACACTATATTCACAAGACGAAAAATTGCCAGAAAATGAAATATTTGTAAATACTTGTCATTTTGAAACGGCCTTCAGCAAGGTAGCTCCTAGCGTTTCAAAATCAGATAAAGACAGATACAATTCTTTGAGAGTTAAGTTTGGTTGTGTTACAGAAAAATAACGTTACGAAACGAATAGAGCACGGTTTGGAACTTGGCAATTTTTACAGACGAATCGAATTTTTAAAGATAATATTAATACTAAAATGTGCTTAATTTTTTATTTCGCAATTTTGTAAATATATTTAATAAAATAATAACTTAACTGTCATTTTTATTTATGCAGTATTACTATTAAATGGGAACTTACATAAATCAGTAGATATATGAAAATACTATTACCTTATCTTCCTCTCTATACAAACTGCTAAAGATTTAATCGACTCATCTGATTCCTTGGGCGCTTTGCAGTAAAAATGTAAAATATGGACTTATTTTACTAAAAAATCATAATTAGCATAAAGTTAAATTTTTATTTTTTGTAATTTTCTCCCTTTATACTGCAAAGCGCCCCCTTAAACCTTTCAACCTCCTATTTCAACTCTTCAAACGACTTATTCTGAAAAATGAATGATTCCAAGTCCTTTATACATGATCAAAAAGTTAATCAATTTACAATATTATCTCAACTTCTATGCATTTTTACGTAATAGACAATTCAGCAAATTTATAGCTATTATAGTTATTTTACATTTTAATAGGTATCAAGGATCAACTTATTTTTTTAGAAAATTCATTGTTTACTTAACATTAATACACACTAACTGATATTATTATTCAGTGGAAAAGCAGATCAATTAAAGTTTTAAATATTCCTCGTTTTGTTAAATCTGACGTAATATAAAATATCTTTACCAAATATGATACGATTACCTAATTTTTAATAAATTGAATTTACAGACCTCATCAAATTCATTACAATTCAACTTAATTTAACAGGTTTACCTTATAATACTAATTAACTAACTACTGCACATACCAAATGATCTGATGATGTACATTTCTAATATTATGTATAACGAACAAATGTGAATTTTTTTATAAACTTTTAATTTAGTGAAACTCATTTAATATTTTTATAAGCATATTTTAAATAACATTTATAACAAATTATATATTATAATTCTAATCCTTTTCAAAATTGTCAGGATGTCTGCTTAATATTTTAACAAAAATGTTCGACAATATTTAAACAAGGCAATTTGTTGAAATAAAATTTTTTAAAAATATTAAATAACATCTATTTATTTGTTAAAATTCGATTTAGAGAAAATCATCCATAAGTATATATAATAGTAATAAAAATTAAACGAGAAAAAAAAATTTGTTACCTGTTAATAATTTATTAAGTTTAGCAATCTTAGAAGAGACCGACAAATCAATAGTCTTATCACTTCCGAATTCAATCACCAAACCGCCAAGGATTGATGGGTTAACCTTAATTTATGTCAACGTTTAATATATTTGTATTGTTAGCATAATTTAATGTAATTTGTACAATTAATTAAATATGAATTAGAACATACTTTATTCGAAATAAGGAGTTTTTGATTTGAATCAACGAATTTGCTCTTACTCAATGAATTTTTAAGTTGATTCAAAGTTTTAGAATCAAGTGCCTAAATATATATAAATATATATTAATAGATAGAATTTAAAATTAAGTAAAACTTTTTAAAAAACCAACCTTAGCAGAGATTATCGTAACAGGAATTTCGTTACGATTAGCTGTCATTAATGATTCATACGCATCAATAATTTTTAAAGTTTGAGTAAGTCGACCATTTTCAGCTAAAACTTTGAAAAAATTCTTTGTAGTGTCTGAATAATTTCCATCTTTTAATAATTGTTTTACACCATCTTTCTTTTTTTGACGACTTAATGAAGGATCTTCAAGAAAACTACGAATATTTAGATCTTTTTCAATTACTGTTTTAACTTTCTTAAGTTCAGTTTCAACCTTTTCAAGATTATGTTGCTTAAAGGCAGCAGAAAATAATGCCGTAGAATAACGACCTTCAATACCATAAAGAGTCAAAGGAATCTATAAATTAAAGTCTTAATTAACATTAAAAATATTAGAGCGAATGACTGGATTAAATCATTACCTTGACACTTTTAGAAGCTGGGGCGGCATAGCCTCGAGCAAACTATTATAAATATAAAAAAGGAGAGAATAAAATATAAACTTATGAGAGTGGGTATGAAAATAACTAACTTACCTTTGGAACAAAGTTCAAGGCTTGTTTAGCCAAGCTGAAAGAGGTGAATGAGGTCATTCCAAAAAAATAAAGTCGAGAGAATTTTAATCACTTTTAATTTTTCATCACTTTATTAAAATTAAAGATTATCGTAATTGGATAATGAATAGTTTACTAAATTAGATAGGATCTACAAATAAAAATAAAAATGGAACTTATTTAATCGAACGTGTTTTCTTGTAAATTTTTTTTTCTTCTTTTTTTCTCAATTTTCATTTAATAAAATCATTAACCCGCGTTCTTATTTATAATGTTCCATTCAAATAAATTAAAATTAGCAAAATTCAAATTACAACAAAATGTAAATCATGGCCAACGTTATTATGCTTCAACTATTCAACTTCCTTTTCACCCTCATTACGTTCCGCCAGGTCAACCTACAACCACTTCCATTATACGAAAACAAACAAATTCAACAAACAAAAATTTTTCGAAAACATCAAGAAATCCATCTACAACTTTTGGAATCTATTCTTTCAATCATGCACAACTTTCACAACCTTTTCCAATTAGTGTATTAAATAATCCTACCAATTCAATGATTTTAGGACTTGTACCAAGGTTACAAGAAATTTCTTTTTCAAAAAAAGATGATGTTTTATTATCGGCAAACTTTTTTGGTAATACTAATAATGAAGCTACAAGAAGAAAGATTCCTTTTTTATTTAGAATTTCTACAATATGTTTTGTAGTAGCTGGTTTTATTAGGAGTTATCGTCGAAAGAAGAGTAATATTAATGGAAACGATGATTATCGAATTGGCGAGAACTCTTCTAGCTCGGAACCTTCATAATCTAGATTCTAGAAAAAAATAGGCATGATCTTTATTTTAGGTAAAGATTAATTTTTTTATTTTAAATGCTTTGATTTGTGTGAATTATAATTTCAATAATTATGTATAGTTTCAAATCAATGTACATATTATGCAATAAACATTTTGGAAATATGATTTCTCTTAAACAATTTTTCTCGCCTTTTTGTAATTTTCAATTATTATCAAGCTTTTTTATTTTATCATTGAGATATTGAAAAAGGTTTTGGTATAAATTTTACTTAAATATGTATATAAATCCTATTTAGAATTTGTAAACTAAATTATCATTTACAGATTTATTGATATTTTTACTCTTTTATAACCTATAAATAAATATAGTAATTTAATTTTTAATTATTTATTTCATATAAAAAATATATTAATCTGCTTAAATTTAATTCTATTTATTTAGTTTATCTTTAACTGCATTTTGTAAAACTTATTTCTTTTATTACAATTTGAGTTTATTTTATTTAAATTTATTTTTGTTTCAAATAATAAACAAAGGAATTAATTTAAAAACATAATTACTTTTTATTTCTTATCTATTAATTAGATTGTGAATTATTATATTAAACTTTGAGTTTATCTTTAAGAATAAATAAATTCTTTAAACCTTAAGTAAAAAATTTTAATTTTAAGAAATTCTGGATATCTGTAAGATAAATAAAATAGTATTGGTATTTGGCTGGTTAAATTTCTATTTGGATTAAAAATTTTTTGGTTATTAATTAGCCAAAAATTTTTGGTTAGGTTAAAATGCTAACATTATTGTAAAACTTAAGATTTTTAAGATTGCAAAGTTTGAATGATAAAAAATTTACTTATTACAGTAAAAGTAACTTAAACTTATATATATAAAGATAATTATTCTTAATAATATTAATATTACATGAAACACAATTATATTAAAAGTGACTAATTACATATCATTGAGTAAGCAGATAAAGAGATATTGATTATTAAAATATCTATTAATATATAGTCCTTTACTTGTTCTAAACTAATTAGTGTTACACTAAAATCATTAGGATGATCTTCCTAATGTAGATCCTTAGAAAACTATGTTAACTTTGTTAACTTCG